CTCTCCTGCTGCTTCTTTTCTAGATCAAGAATCCAAGCACTTTGTGCCCGCATCTAGCTTTTAATTTCTTCAACCTCTTTTGGAGTAGGAGGGGGAGGACTTCTGATAGAGAAAGACTCAAATTCCTGCGTTTTTGCCTGACAGTCTTGCCCAAACCAGCAACTCCCGTACTTTGGAACAACTTTTAAAAACAGTTGGGTATCGTTGGAGCCTATTTGACTTTCAGCTCATCGTACTTGGCCTAAACATTTTTAAACATAAGACATAACACAACACATTATACATGAGAAAAAATAGATAAAAATACGAAAAAACAGATCCACGAAGGTTTTAAACTTTCATATTTACTTTGTGTTAACACTTGCAATGACTTCTTGAACACGAGGAGGGGGGTCAACCAATTTCGCCACATAACACTTCTTATTGATCTCAGTCTCCAGCCGTTCCCGATCCAAAGTTTTAGCCTAAGAGAAAATTAATTAGAAACATAGTAAAATAGAAAATTTGCTGAAATAAATTTGAAGTCAATTTTTACCAATCTTTGGGTGTGGGGTATCAACATTGGCTCGACCACCCCGATATTGAGACTCAATGGCAGCATTAGTGTTTTGAAATTGGATCCCAAAATCAAGTGTATGATAGTTATAACCATTAATGAAGTATGTTGGCCAAGATGTTGGTAATGTTGAGAAGCCCCGTGCTAATGACTCCAAAAATGAATTAATAGTATCAAGCAAAAACTATAAATTAATAATTATGTCCTGGTGTGAATTGGTAAATTGATCTTTTATTTTACCTTGAAACTCAGCTCCAACTGTATTACCAGGTCGGTCACACTACAACCCAACATCTTTTCTCGAGAATAACCCCTCTTTTGGTTTCCATTTGAAATTCATCCCATGTTAAACATGTTATCAAAGACAAGTTTCTCAATGTGCATCACATCTAGCTTATGGGGAATTAGGAGGTCTTTCCAGTAAGGGAGGTCCCAGAAGATTCTTTTTTTTGTCCATTTACGATGAATCTTATATCCTGGGGTACTCAAGTGGACCGTCTATAACAGATGGAATGCCACACACACGGTACCAAATCTGATACCTTGTCAATCTCGGGGGTTGAGAATTGCGTTTCATTTTCTTGTTGATAAATGATTTTTTATCTCCTCGGGTGATTGTGGCTTAGAAATTTCCGATGGCAATCAAAGTAAGATGATTTCTCACAATTCTTCATCCAAAAAGCATTTGATTTCTCCATGCATATCAGGCATCCCATAAGTTGCGCCGTCCATATAGACAGCATCCATATGCAGGAAAGTCACTAATTGTCCACAATAATGCTACTTTCAAATTAAATATTTGGTTTTTGAAATATCACATGTTAGAACACCTACATCACATACTTGTTTCGACTCATCAATAAGAGACTGCAAGTAAATCTCTATCCCCTTCTTAAGATTATGAGGTCTAGGACTAATTAATGACAAAAACATGAAAGGACTCTTCATACACATATCTGAGGTAGATTATAAGGTGTGACTATAGTAAGCCAACAAGAATATTCACCCCCATATAGACTACTCTATAAGGTGTGACTATAGAATATTCCCAGGGGGTCACCCATCCCGAGACTACTCCCGTGCAAGCACACTTAACTTTGGAGTTCTTAGGTGATGAGTTCCCTTAAATGGAGATGCACCTCTGTTGGTATGAGTAGTATTATTAATCCATTTATATTAAATCTCAAGTGTGATAATGTATATATATATATATATATATATATATATATATATATATATATATATATATAAGTATATTACCAAGTCAGATATGATGTCTCATTATTAATTATTATTCCAAGATAACAATATATATCATTTATCATTTACTAACCTGTTACAACCATGCAAACATGTGTATGAAATCTTTTAACATTTTTCATATACAAAAATGTATCATATGGATTTTAATTATGGGATTACCATTTCAACATTTATTAATGAATCATTTTCACATCGTTTAATCTAATACTTTCACATAAATATCACAATCTCTTGAGTTTCAGAATAGTATTAGAGGAAATGAAATTGATCTCAGTTCATTCATGGAAGAAGATGAATTACAGAATGATGAGATGCTCGGTAAGGAATACAAGATGCAATTATTATATATCATCCTATCTTGTAACTAACCCTTAACCGACTATAGTAATCTGTTCAGGGAAACATCTAGAACTTACACGTGTAAGCTAATTAATCAGCTAACTATACTTCACATCCCCCCTCAAGTTGGACTTGGTTGTAAGAAACAAGTCCTAACTTGGAAACAAATTGTTCATGATGTTTAAATCCCAGACCTTTTGTCAATACATCCGCAATATGAGAGCCAGTGTGAATATAATGTGGCTTCAAGAGTCCCTCTTGAAATCTTTCCCTGATGTAATGACAATCAATGCGCAAATGTTTTGTTTTGTCATGAAAAACTGGGCTTTCAACAATGTGTTGAGCAGCCATGTTGTCACAATATAATGGAATAGGTTTAGGAACCTTAACATTAAGTTCAGTTAGTAGTCCATCAATCCAAACGACTTCAGAAGCAGTGTAACTCATGCTCCTGTATTCTGATTCTGTAGTAGATTTACTAACAGTCTTTTGCTTCTTTGTTTTCCAGGATATTAGTGACTTTCCCAGATATATGCAATATCCTGATAGTGATCTTCCAGTCATGAAACAAGATCCCCAATTCGCATCACAATATGCTGAAAGTTCTGAGGATGATTCAGCTGGATAAAATAATCCAAGATTTGCAGTGTGCTTCAGATATCTAATCTAACAAGGAAAAGAGCAGCCTGCATATGAACAATTATGGGTTCATTCAAGAACTGACTGAGTTGTTGAGTTGTATAGGAGATGTCTGGCCTTGTCTAGTTGAGATATAACAATCTTCCTATCAGTCTTCTGTATTGTTCTGGCCCACCTTTTTCTACTGAAAGTTTTAGTCCTGTAGGGATAGGAAACAATGCTGGTTTACAATCCACCATATTGGTGTCATGTAATATGTCCAAAATGTATTTTCTTTGGTTTAGAATGATCCCTTTGTTGTTTCTTGCTACTTCTATACCTAGAAAATAGCGCATGTGACCCAAATCCTTTATAGTAAAGGTTTTATTGAGGGCATCTTTAATTTCTTTAATTTGTTCTTCTGCATTTCCTGTGATCAACAAATCGTCCACATGAGCAAGAACTAATGTGAATGTTGTATTGGTTCTCTTGATGAATAAGGAGTAGTCTTGTTTGGATTGATGAAAACCAAGATTGATTAAGAACTTAGTAAGCTCAAGGTTCCATTATCTGGAAGCCTGTTTCAGTCCATATAAAGACCTTTTGAGTTTACAGACTTGCCCTGATTTAGCATCATGATATCCTTCTGGAATTTGCATATAAACTTCTTCATCAATGAATCCATGCAAAAAGGCATTATTAATGTCTAGGTGATGTAAATTCCATCCTTGGGATGTTGCAAAAGCAATTAGAATCCTTACAGTAGTAAATTTTGCAACTGGACTGAATGTGTGTTTGAAGTCCTTCCCTTTAATCTAATTATAGCCTTTGGCTACTAATCTGGCCTTGAATCGCTCAATGGTTCCATTAGGTCTAAATTTTACTTTATAAACCCATTTAGCACCAATAGCTTTCTTTCCGACTGGTAGAGAGGTAAGTTCCCAAGTTTGATTTCTTTCTAGAGCATCCAATTCTTGTTGCATGGCTTTCACCCACCTGTGATCTTCTTTGGCTTGTTTATATGAGACTGGTTCATGCACTGATAAAACATTAGCTAATGATGCTATATACTCAGCTCCATAACCTTTCAAAGAAGAGCAGATTACATTTGCCAAATGTTTAATGGGAGAATAATTTGCAGAATCTGATACCAGTATGGATTTTGGAATGTCCTTGCATATGTAATCTTGTAGTTTCTGAGAAATTACCCTTGTCCATAGGTATTTGTTGTTCATTAGGGATATTTTCTGAAGCTTCATGTCCATGTATCTATAAGTCTGAGTTTGTAGGTGCATGGGCTTGAGTTGGAAGGAGTGGTGTTATTCTCATTGTATATACCTGAAGGTGTAATGGATGGATAACCGGCCAGTTGTGGGTTCTGATAGTTCTTCCTTCTTAAAAGGAAAAACAGACTCATGAAATATTACATCTCTGCTAAGTATGATTTTCTTGGATTCATAGTCATACACCTTGTACCCTTTTTGTCCAAAAGGATAACCAATCATGACACCCCGGATTGCTCTTGCTTCCAATTTATCAGGAGTTTTTATGGCAGCATAGCATAGACAACCAAACACCCTAAGATGTTCATAACTTGGTTTTCGTTTGAACAAAATTTCATGAGGTGTTTTCCTGTCAACTGAAGATGGCATAAGGTTGATTATATGTGTTTCTGTAAGTAAGCATTCTCCCCAGAACCTTTTTGGTACATTGGCTTGGATTTTTATTGCCCTTGTTGTCTCTAGTAAATGGCGATGCTATCTCTCCACTCTACCATTTTGTTGAGGAGTGTTAGGGATGCTTTTTCGATGAATGATTCCTTTCTCATGGAAAAACTTAAGGCATGATGATTGAACTATTTCAGTCCAGTTGTCAGATCTAATCATCCTTATCTTTTGATCAAAGTTTGTTTCAACATAAGCAATGAATCCATAGATGATATTGGGTACTTCAGTCTTATCCCTTATCAAATAGGTCCATGTATTTCTGCTACAATCATCAAGAATTGTTAAGAAATAAGAAGCACCAGTTATAGATTTCATTCTGTAAAGCCCCCATAAATCTATATGAATAAGATCAAATATTTTGGAAGCATTAAATTCACTTCTTTCAAAAGGCATGCTATGATGGTTAGCCAAAATGCAAACTTCACAGGACAATTTGTCAATATTTTTTACATCTTCAGCTAAACAAAGATGTTTTAGCTTTGACAGAGATGTATGCCCTAGCCTGTTGTGGAAAAGCAATAAATGATTAGGAATATGGCAAGATTTATTCACTATACATTCTGTTGCCATAATATTGTGCTTATTACTAGAAACTATAGAAGGAAAACCAGCTTTATTCATCTCATCTTTGACTTCAAATATGTAGAGTCCAGATTTCTTCCTTCCAAGCATTATCCGTTTCTCAGTAGAAAGGTCCTGAACATAACATCCATGGTTATCAAAACATGTTATCAAACCAATATTCTGCAACAATTTTCCTATAGATAACAAGTTGTGTTGAAATTCAGGGACAAACATTACATCCTGTAAGAAAATTTTCTCAGAAAGCTGCACTTCACCAATGATTTCAACCCTTTTAATATTGCCATTAGGTAAAGCAATACTAATAGGACTGGTAAGATGTCTCATACATCATAGTTCGAGCAATCGTTGGAATCATTGAATGAAGAAGCCAGCTCATGACCGTGTAATCAACCCTAATCCATTCCTGGAAATCATCTGAATTTTCATTTGGCTTTTTGAACTTTCTGCTTACGAACACTAGCTTGTTCTTCGAAATTAGGGCCATTTTGACACCTCTGGACCAGTTTAGGTAATTGTTTCCATTGAAGATCTCATTCGTAAGCATCAAGTTCGAATGATCGTTGGGAGCCAGATATAATGGATATCTGTATGATCCGGCTGAGTTTATTGCACTCGAGGTATGACTTTCTTCAATCGGCATTTTTGACAAAGAGAACGTGTATGTTATTTTTGCTCAATTGTTCCTAGAGCTCTGATACCATCTTGAGTTTCAGAATAGTATGAGAGGAAAGGAAAATGATCTCAGTTCATTCATGGAAGAAGATGAATTACATAATGATGAGATGTTCGGTAAGGAATACAAGATGCAATTATATATCATTCTATCTTGTAACTAACCCTTAACCGACTATAGTAATCTGTTCAGGGAAACACCTAGAAGTTACACGTGTAAGATAATTAATCAGCTAACTATACTTCACATAATCATACCTTTGTAATTAAAATACATAATTTACGTAAATAATTATATATATATTAAAACGACCCAACCAATCAAATCGTATGCATACTAAGAGGAAACTTTTTAAACCTCACCTCGGATTATCGTGAAGTACTACCCGAATTAATATTGTGAGTTGATTGCCTCGCCCCTTCTCAGGAATACGTAGTATATAGAATGAGAGGACACATTACGCCATGTTATTCTCCGGCGGCACAATCTCCTCCTAAGCATGGGACTTTTGTCCCTCTCGTTCCTATAATTTAGTTCTGGCCTGGGTATGTAGTCCAGCCATGACAACCTGCGGCGGTGACTTTCTCTATATGTCCGGCGGATATGTCCGGCGAAAATGAACCGGCGGCGAAAATCTTATACGTAGTATATAGTATATACCTCCGTTTGTTTATACTTGGGCAAGAGATGGAAAGATCCTAGGAGTATTGGGCACTACGTACATTGAAGTTCCTATATATGAAGTGGCCTGGGTTTTCATTCTATGAGCTTTAGCCAATACTCAAAATATATGTAAATATCTAGATAAGCCTTCATAGTACGTATAGCTAACGTGTGGCCATGTTTATAAGTTCCAATATTAATTAATAATAGTCTCTCTCCGTCGGTAGCAAAGTTACGAAAAGAAATGAAATGATTTCAACTTTCAAATGGTCCAATATCAAAAATAAAATGTATACCGATAAGATGTGATATGTACACATGGATATTTATACGCATGGGAACAAAATATGAATGTCTCCTTTTTATTTATATTTTCTTTCACCATTATTGCTAGGCAAGAGACTTGCGGTGACCCTAAGTTTGTACAAATTAATTCGGGATTTTTAAATGGAGTATATGTGAAGAAGTTTTCAAAATGAGGTAGGTTCAGTCTAATTGAAAGATAGATAATATACATGGCGTAGGAATCCCAGAGGAGCTAAATAATATTATAATAGCAATATAGATTAATAAATTGCATATAATCCATTTTGGTCTAATAAAAGAGTATTAATAAAATGAATTAACTCGTCAAAAAAAATTCCTAGTAACCGATTAACTGAAGGCATATTACCCATCTTCAAATATTTATTTTGAAATTTTAAATTTATGTTAAAAATATATCTTATCTGGGAGTGGTATTACACACATTGTGCGGGTCTATGGCGATCGAATTGAGGATGACAGTGAGCCAAATGCTTCCATGCTTCTGAATCTGATGGATGGAACATCAACCCCTCGTTTGCTTCATGTTCAAGGTGCCACATCATGTGTTTAGCTGTTTCATTTGAGGCATACAATCTCTATAATCTTTGGAGTAATGAAAGGTAATATAACTTTGAAATAACATATATCTTCCGTGGCTTGCGAAGATTGTCATACTGTAGCTGGTATCTCTTAGTGCCACAAAATTTACAATGCAACAATGCCTCATTATTCTTCTAAAATAACATACACCCATTTGGACAAGCATGGATATGGATAACAAGGAGACCCAATTATGATACATATTGTTTCACCTTGTAATATGTATCACGAAGAAAATGGTCTCACGATAGCATACTATCCATTGGTTGTAGTATTCAAGTCATACAATTTTCAGGCAAGTTATATTCTGACTTTATATTTAAATAGGTGACAATTGTGAATTTAATGATCCTCACAATTATAATACAATGGTTGATCAACACTTTTTGGAACATCATGAAATTTGTCTCTCAATTCATTTTTATATATATATATATATATATATATATATATATATATATATATATATATATATATATATATATATATATATATATATATATATATATATATATATATATAAAGTAGGCACTAGAACTTGCACCCAGATCATACACCATTTGTTGCTCCCAACTCGACCATTTGATCATAACCACCCCAGTGGGCCATCTCGTCATGAACTTGACGAGTGGTTCCTATGGTGTGTGCCAAAAGGTTCGGATCAAACAAATCGTCTTGAGAAGTTCATTTATCACACTTCAGAAATTTATTATTTTCGCACATAACACACGGACATCACATCTTTTCTCCATCCATGAATCGTGTTTGTGCACGCGCAAAACTAATAAATTCATCAACACCATTAATAAACTCTTGAGTTAACTCTCTACCATTCTCAACATATCTATTGTACATCCAACATCTTATTTGTCTATACATTGTGCATGTATGACATATTAAACATGACATAGATAATAATATCTTAATAAAGTCAATATATTTAATTTATAATGTAATACACCACTACACCTAATAATTCATTAAAAGTACACATTTCAATAAACAAATAATTCGGGAAAATATGACTTGAAATAATATCAATACTATTTTTTGCTTACTTCTACTATTTAAAATTAGTGTGTTTGAATTAATTTAATGTTGTTATTATATACTAGTTTTTAAATTTAGTTTTTTATCATTAATATAATGCATGTTACTATATATTATAATGGTATAATACAATTTATATACATAGTACAATTTAAATTAACCTAATTAAAGAAATAAATGTTTATCAAATTTAAAAAGTATATAATGAGAAGAACATACCTAATAGCAGATAAGGAATATAACTTCTTTCAGAAAATTCAACGTATGTAAGAATGTCACTTCAACTTCCACATATAGCATAATTTGCATCTCTTTCCAAATCCATAATTTTCATACTATATTAATCAATATCTGTGATGAAAGAAAGGTTGGATGTTAGTGAAAATATGAAAATGGCTAAGATAGGTATTTATAGATAATTTTGGCACAGATATAGTCATAGATTTTGGAACATAGGTCAACTCCATTTTCCAACAGTTGTATATTTAGCACCGCAGGCAGGTCCCAAGAGGATGAACACAAAGTTGGCACGGTATTAGACATGACAGTTGGCATGCAAAGAGCCAATGGTAATACATAGGCACGGTCTTTGGCACGAAAACCCAACGGTAATAATGTAGCACAGACGTACGCACGGAAGTTTGCACGACCTCCAAAAAGTCAACTAACGGTAATATTTTGGCACAAAATAGTTACGCTGGATGCATCACTGTAATTTTGGATGATTTCTTATGGCAATGACGTGTCGTGGCAATGTTAAACATTGACAAAATTGGTGTTACAAAATCTAACGAACATTTATTTTGGTCGTATTTTGGCAAGGAAGGCGTTGTGACAAAGTCTGGCACAGAAGTTCCATGCCAATATATTTTTTGCGACTTGCTTGTCGTCTTTTTGGACGTTGTTTGTGCCTATCATTGTTCCAAACGTGGCACGACAGTTTTCCGTGCCAAATGTCAGCCAAAAACATATTTTTCTTGTAGTGTCCCTCTCCTCGATCTGAAATCCCCCTACCAAACTGACCCCTATAGAAATGCATGTGAAGGGCCTTTAAAATGAACTCGTTCAAACCTGCATCGATAAAAGAAAGTATGACATCCCTGGGACAGTTAATTCGGAAGATTTAAAATGAATTTTACTTAACTGGAAGATAGCGAGTGTGGTTCTAGTCCAGATACTTGTAGAAGGTTCATAGCTGCTATATCAATGATCCAAGGGGCGAAAATCTCAAGGTTCACCATCATTACACCAGTCGAGTCAAATTCTTGATCAAAGCTTTGTACACGAATTGGAAAGTTGCTGGGCGAGAGAGGAATTGAAGCCTCTGATGTTCTCCGTTCAATCAACAATGCATCTTCTTCTTGGACTCCTTACCAGTGCTTCCCTCCCCCAATAAAGGCTAGAATATTGTAAGAGAGTGATGACTAGTCGCCATTGACATCTAAATGTTTAGACTGAGGATGGATCGGTATGTTTCAAGGACATTGGACACCTAAAAGAGTATAAAAATATTTGGTGTACATCTTTCTGTATACATCATTTCACATTTTGTTTGTGCACACAAATTAAGTTGTCTATATATAGACAATTTCTATATTTTCAAACGAATCGACTGTATACAGACGACTTTGTCTATGCAGACAGACAAAGTGTTCGAATTGTGTACATAAAAAGATATACACCACACATTTTTCTAAAAGTATACTATTGTTATCCACTTAATTGTGTTTATGAGGGATTGTAGGGCATCAATAGAATTGCTAACCGGACATATTTTATGGTTTGTAGTAAAGATAAATCAAGGTTTGGTTGGGGAGGAAGTCAAGGAGAGTCTTATGGCCAACAACATTAGCAATTTAGAGTTTTTTCCCGGAATAATGCTAATTAAATAAATAATTCCCAAAATACTGCCGGATTAAGAATAATTCCCAAAATATTGTTGGGGTTAACCACGGTTAAGGAAAGACGCCACTCCAAGTGACGGCTCTTGTATAACTTCACAAGAGCCGCCACTTGGAGTGGCGGCTCTGCTATAGACATACAAAAACCGCCACTTCGAGTGGCGGCTCATTTAAAACCCAAATAAACCCCCTTTCCCCAGACGACGAACGACAGAACACAGAAGCTCTCCCCTCTGTTGTGCGACTAAAAAACGGCGACCCCCATTGCAGTTCTGGCCAGATTCCGTCAAATGAAGGTCAAATCAAAGGGAAAAAGAGACACGGTGTAACCTAGAGCGTTTGTGCTTCATTATACCAACTTTCAACCGTTTGATTCAAGGTATTTCACCATTTTTGGTAAAGCTAGTTTTTTTTTAAGTATTGCTCGAGATTGCCTGGAATTGGTGTTGTTTTGCTCGAAATTGCTGTTGTTTACTGGTTTATTAACGGCTTTAGATTGTTAAATATATTTTAACAAATAGCATTAAGAGGAATAAGCAGCTAAGCAGCTTCTGCCACTGTGTGCAGTGGCGGACCCAC